TACGGTGGTAGTTACGTAATTGTCAGAAACCATGGGGCTGTGTATTTCGAGCTGGTGAGTTTGTTGACTATGAATTATACCGCAATAGAGCTAATTTTTGAAAACCAAATAAAATTTTCCTAGAAAAGACACTTCCTCCTCTTGCCATCAGCGCCACCCCCCTTCAAGTCACTCTACAATAGCAGATGAAGGGATCTTATAAAAGCCTAAATCCAACAATGTCACTCCTGATGGAAAAACTCTGAAGGGTTCTTTCCTCCATGAATGAAGTCCGGAGAACCACACTGGCCTGCGAGTCCACTCGCTTGGCTCACTCACGCCGACACTTAGCCAGGAGCAGGTGCAGGAAAGAGCTCCATGCCCCTGAGCCTCTTTCTGCACAGCTCCAAGTCAAGCCAACCAACTGCCAAAGACCAAGTTCCCAGCTCCACTCTTGACAAACGTATCTTCATGACAACCTGGAGGGCCAGGTTCAGATTGAGAGTCCGGAGACTCCTTGGAGTCCTGTGTAGAAGCTGGTGGTGTCCACAGCCAGGCCACAGCCTGTGCCTCTTCTTGTCTGTCCGACCCAGTCCCCTCTAAAACTTTGAGGCTCCTTGCCAGGCCTCTGTGGAAATTTGTGTTTGCAACCCCTGGAGGGTTGTGCTGCAGATGGAATCAGTGAGACTGGATGCTAAATATGCTTCTCCGTGAGTAGTGCTGGCTCCACGTGCACGCATTCGTGTATGTGGGAAAGCACACATACGTGCCTGTGTGTACATGTGTATGGGTGTGTGTGTGTGAGCATTCAGGTGCATATGAATATATGCATGCACGTGCACATGCATATGTGCAAATAAGCCCACGCTGTGTGTGTTTATTTTGACAGCAATGTGAGCCACCCAAAAGCAGCTGTAACATGTCTACCTGCTGCAAAGCAGATGCTCCGTGAACTCTTGTGCAGTGAATGAATGAACAAATATCAGTATAGCAGTTATTAACAGTGCGGTTTTGAGTCAGCCACAGTGAAGGTCCAAATGCCATTCTGACATTCACTAAGTTGCTTTGATTTAGTCTCCTAATCCCTAGAGCCTTAATTCCTCATCTCCAGGACAGGGTTAAGCATTTTATGGGTGTAGTGTGAGGATTAAGTAACCATAATCAAATCCAACACGTATTGAGCTGGACTGCGGGCCAAGCACGGTTTTAAGGGCTTTGCCAGGGCTAACTCCGGCCGCTCCCTGCAGGGTTGCCGGGCTGGGTGCTACCCTGAGCGAACCCTCGCTACATCGTGATTGTTGTCATACTTATGATCAAAGGAGAAGAAGGCCACCAGCCCAAGCTCCGGAGCATCTTCTCCTGAGTCCTTCTCAGATCGTGACTGATGAATCTTCCAGGAGACACAGAACGTTCCAGCGGGCAACCATCCGCCTGGCCATCTCCCAACTGAACCCTTTGCTGGACCAGTCCTTCTAGCGCACTTAGGACATCCATCCTCGAGGTGGCGCTGCAGAGCAGGAGCCGGGCTGCTAGTGGCGGCGCCCTCTGGTGTTCTGTTTTCATCAACACTGATTAGTAATTTTTCCACAAGAGTGCGGGGCAAGAGAGGGTGACAGATATGGGTGAGAAAGAATTGAATGTGATTGGCTGTATGACAGAGGAGCAAGAGCAGGGAAGATAGAAAAGGGAAGGACCAGGTCATGCCCAGGAAGTTATCATCTAGAGTCTGGCACATAGTAGGTGCTCAATGCAATTTGAGCAGATGATTAACACAACAGTCCTATGAGGCTAATGTTACTATACCATTTCGAAAAATGAACAAGGAGACTGCTGGTCTGAGAGGTGATACCGCGAGCGCGGGGCAGAGCCAGGGCAGTCTGCTCCCAGAGGAGGGCGGGCGCCCTGTCTTCAGGACACTTGCTGTCTTGGTGGCTTCCTACATGCCGTTCCTGTCTTCGGATGCCGTCCCAGGCCTGCCAGGGCTCCTATTTATGGCTCAGGGCTGAGGGCCAGTGAAGCTCCCCTCGTAAATTATAAAGGCAGACACATGTGGGCCAGGATTGGGGCATTCAGTGCATGAGGGATCCCCAGGAATCTTGCTCAGTCTAATCAGGGATTTTCTTTCTCTTCTCCAGGAGAGCACGGACACAGACAGCAGCATCTGCTGGTCCCTGAGGGAGCTCCCAGCCTCTGCAGGTGCTGCTGTGAAAGCCTGGGCCCTGACCGCTCCCTGCTTGGAGGCAGTTTCTTTAACCCCTAAGCGGGAGCTATCTCTCACCCACACACCCTGGCACCTCCACAGCACAGGTTTTTAAAATGCGATGCTCCCTGTAACCTGCACATCTGTCCCCTGTTTGAGTTCCAGGAGTGTATTCATCCTTCCCTGGGGAGCTTACGATGGACGATGGACGTCAGTACGAATCCTCTGGTCCTGCAGAGATGCCCCTTCCCCCAGCATTTGCTTCTGAGTTCTTGAGTCTGTTTTTTCTCCTGCATTCCATCCTTTCTGTCACTGTCAGATTGTCACTTAACTGTCGCCTGCCTCTGACTGCCACTGGCAGTTTTTCCTCTCCTCCCAGCTCCCTGCTTCAAGTCTCATGGGTGACATCTTGGGGTGTGCTCCCGAGGCAGCCTGGCAGGAAGGAAGACCCTGGTGCTTTCTTCTGGGAGTTAAATGTGCCAACTTGTGTGGTGGCCTTTGAGCTCCCAGACTGACGTACTTGATGGCGTTTTCATTTGTTTGGATGGAAAGGAGGTTATCAGAAAGCAGGTCTCCATTTGGGAGAGGTCACATCGGGCATCTTTTGTAAACTGCCATGAGACAAACACTTGCCTAAGGCAGGTGCCAACAGAAGGCTCCTCTTCGGGATCATTCTGCCCCCTGCATGGTGGCAGCAGCCAGTGGGTGACCTAGTGTGGTAGATCCGGCAAAGGGACAGGGAGAAGGCCTGGAATGGCCACAGTAGCAGCAGGACGGCCGCCCACTGCTGACAGAGTGGTTTCAAATTCCACCACATCAGAGCTCTGGCATAAAATTAGCATTCTCTGTGTGAGGGGCCAGAGAAATACTCACATTCAGCAGAACCATGAAGGGACAGAAGAAAGAGAGAGAAGGGGCCAGCAGGGGAAGGGACCCACCCGTGTCCTCCCGCTGCAGAGCTGCATCAGGGTCACAGAAGGGCTCTTGGGGAGGAGTGGGGCTGGGCCGCGGGGAGGCAAGAGCTACGGAAACCTGGAGCTGTAAACTTGAGAAGTTGCCTCTCCTGAAACACACACACACACACACACACACACACACACACACACGCACATGCACATGCACGCACGCATGCACACACACACACACACACACACACACACACACACACGCCCTGAAACTGAAGAAGAAATTTCCAAGGGCTTTGGTATGTTTCACATACATTTTTCTCATTAATTTTTCCCACAAGCCCTCTAAGTAAGCAGTCTGGCACGCCTGGAACTCATCCCAGTGCACTCCTGACTGTAATCATTACACACTTACTTAGATTTGCATGTCAAAAGACACCTTTCCTGCTCCTAGCACCCCTGCTGGATGCATTACACAATCATTTTTATGGGCACAATATAAACACACACATACACACACACGCTTGCCTACACACAGTATGTGTTTATACACAGATGTGTGTTTTTCAGCTACACACAGGGGTACGCGTGCGGTTGATACCTCCCGTGGCGGCTCTGAGCCCCACCTTCTTGCTGAAGTGGCTGTGTAACTTCCTGTCTGTCTTCAGCAATGCCTCCTCTCCTGCCAGCCAAGGCCAGTCCTGTCCCCTCCATACTTGCCATGAACAGACCTATACCTTTCCGCTGTTTGTGGAGGTCTCCTGTAGCCACAGCCTGGTTGGAGTCGAAGTTGGTATTATTTCTAGCTCCTCAGGTGTGAATTCTTCTGCATGTTGGGTCTGTATGCTGCCTCTCATGGTATACAGGTTTATGCAATTCAGTTTTGGTCTGTGAGCACCCTGCAGGCTCAGTAACCTCAAACTATTTTTATGCAATCCTTCAGCTGAGAATTTCTGCACTGCACAGGCAGCTTAGATCTGGACCTCATACTGGTGCAGGTTACAGCCTTGAGGCTCTGGCTTGGTGCGATGTCCCTTGTTCTAGTCATGGCCTGGACTTCAATTCCTGCGGTGACCTCAGACTGACTACTGAGGAATTCTGTTCCCATAATCTGTTCTGAAACTCAGCTTCACCTTGAGACCCCAGGACTGAATTCATGACACCAGTAGGACCTTACAATAGCCTGAATCTGGTCCCAGACCAGGCATTAAAATTTCAGCCCCGAGCAGATGTGGTGGAGCACACCTGTAAGCCCAGCACTTGGGAGGCTGAGGCAGGAAAATCATTGCAAGTTGGAGGCCAGCCTGGGCTACATAGTGAGACTGTCTCAATCAATCAATCAATCAATCAATCAGTCAATCAGTTTCAGCCCCCAGAACCCTAGGAGGCTGAGGCAGCAAAAAAAAAAAAAAAAAAAAAAAAAAAAAAAAGTGCTGAAGATGTATCTCAGCATCAGTGTCCTGGGTTTAATCCCTAGTACTTCCAAACAGAACAAAGCACCTCAGCCCAATAACCTGTACCCACCCCTGCTGTTCCCAGGGGCTGTGTGGACCTGGAGCCCCTCCTGCTGGTGTAGCAAGGTTAAAACCTGCAAATTATGCATTCTTGTTTTCAAGCAGGGATTTGTGTGTTAAAATATCTAAAAACACATCACTCAGCATCTTTATGAGTCTGGAGCACCATGGGAAATTTCACCTTCTGTTTTTCCCGACAGCTTGATTTTCCTCTGTAGTTCGAATGCCTCCTTTAACAAACAGTTATTGGTGGCTTGGCACCTGGGACTCACTGCCTCCTGCAGCCAGGCACCGAGGGGGACACTTCCCCAATTACCGTGCAGCTGGGCAGAGAGGGAGGAAGTACAAGCCCCAGGGTGCCTGGAGAGGAGCTGGGGGTGACCCGGGGGGAGGAGGAGCCTGAGCCAGGGCCTCAAGAGGCCGGGTGGGGCCTCCTCAAGGCAGCTCCTGGGACTCCAGGGTCACAGACCACAGCCAGACACGGGCAGGCTGGAGGAAGTGAGAGGTGACTTCCTGGACCACCCATGGCCATGGCTTTAGCCCAGCAGCTGCGGGCGGAGAGGTGAGTGTGGGGTGTCCCCTCCCGGCCTCCTCTCTGCTCCCCAGCAGGCCTCGGTGTGGAACACAGGGGCGCCCCTTCTTTTACCTCCCCCTCCCACCAACAGCCTAGGGGACTGCATTACCTTTGAACCCCACCTGCAGCTCTGCGGCTCTGGGAACTGCTTTTAGGAACCCTGACCTATGACTCACAACCTCAGGCACCACAAGACTTCGGAGGCTCAGAGTTGGGCAGCGGCTGCCCTCCCCGGCAGTGGGCGGGCAGCAGAGCCCGGGAACGCAGGTGTGCAGGTCCAGGTGGGGCCCTGGCTCCAGACGTGGCCAGGAAGGCTTCATGTCTTCCCTTTAAGGGAGTCACAGTCCGTGTCACTCTCCTCAGCCCAGGTGCTGCCTCCTGCACAAGACACCTTCCTGACAGCCCTTCTCTGTTCTGGACCTGGCCCGCTGTTTGCCTTTTTGGCACAGCCCTTATGCCACTGGTACCATGGTGTATCTCATGTTTTTAATCCTTGCCATCGTCTTTATCTATCAGAAACAAACCCGTGAGGGTCTGTTTTGGCCAACACAGTGACACAGAAAAGCACTGGTACCCAGGAAGCACTTCACTTCATAAATGTCACCGAAGTGAACAATACCTGGGTCTCTGAGCTGGAGAATGTCCTGGTCCCTCTAGGCCAGTGCTGCCATTATTCAGGTGGGAAAACTGAGTCCCAGGAAGGACACAGGATTTCTCTGGGTCTGGGAATGAGTGGCAGGGCTGGGTCTCACCTCTTAGCAGCCATATCCGCACTCCCAGCTATGGGGCCCTGAGGACACAGAGTGTTGCTCCTGTCTCCTGGATAAGAACAGCAGGTGACCTCAGGGCCAAGCACCCACGTTGTAGGACAGAGGCCAGACCCAGGTGGGGAGCGGAGAGCCCAAGGTGGAGCCTGGGGCTGGAGGCAGAAGCAGGGGGGAATTTCTCAAGGTCTAAAGTCAGAAAGAAGGCTCAGCCACCCAGAGGTGACAAGGGCAGCAGAGGATGTGCCTAGAGGTGGGGGTCACAGTGACCTCCCGCGACCATAAAGGGAGGCACTGAGGGGCTGAGAGAGGTCATCTGGATTCCAGCTCCTCCTCTTCTGCACAAATGCTCAGAAGAGACGGAGCAAAGTCAGCCCCTCAAAGCAACAGCAGCCTGCAGCCAAGGTCACTTCCTGCTTCAGGAGTCCATGCAAGCCTCGGCCGGCAGCCTGCAGGCTTCTCCCTCCCTCTCTGTCCCTTTACTGCGTCCTGGACCCAGGGAGCAGGACTTGAGGGCATAGAGGGAGCAGCAGCTGCTCCTGGGAGAGCCCAGCTGGGATTGCCGAGTCCCGTCCACTCCCCCAGCAGCTTGCCTTGTGTGCCTGTGTGGCCTGGGCACTGCCATACCTGGGCAGAGGTGGCAGCTGGGTACTGAGCATCCTGGAAGTGTCTAGTGCCCTCCTCAGCACTGGGGATGCAGTGTGATCAGAGTCCCTGCCCCGCGGGGTGTAAGCTGCACTTGCTGAAGATGGGGGCTCCATGGTCCCCATTTCCTAGAGAGTGGAAGGGGCTGGAGCCCGAGGAGACACCCTCCCAAGGTTCCCACCGCCCAGTGGGAATTCATCTTTACAGAGCTGGGCCTGAGCCCTGGCCACTGTGCTGCATCCGCCCAGACCCACCCTGCTCAGCTGGCCTGTGGCCGCCTCCACCCCGGGAAAAGCCAAAAAGCCTCCTAGCAGCAAAGAAAGGCCAGGCCACTCCTGTGGCCGGGAGGGCCAAGCAGCCAGAAGCCACTTTCAGGGTACTCAGCCCAGGACCCGCCCTGTGCTCAGTGCTGTGCAGGGTTTGCTAAGAACAGTTTCGCTTGGATGGAAAGCTGCAAGGGACCTGGGTGGCCCAAGTTCCCCCATAGCTAGTGGACGCTCCCAGTGTTTGGAGAGAAAATTCTGGAACCAGGCTGCTTGGGCTCAAATTCCAGCTTGCTGACATCCCGGGGCAACCTAGTTAACCTGGTGCCTCAATTTCCTTGTTTATAAAGCGGCAGCACCGTCCTAGCCAAATGCTGTGTCCAGCGTGCACACAGGAAGTAGCTTGCTGTATACAATCAGTTATTACTCAACTCGCCCACCCAACTCCTGCGCAGGGCCGCAGGGCCGTCCCCTCCAGTTACTTCCCGGCCCTCCCCATCTTGTTGCAAATGAAAGACTCATGAAATACACCGCTACTGGGGAGAAAGTGGAGAAAGCAGCTCCTCCTAGGGGAAAGAGTGATTGGGCGGTTGCCCAGCAGCCCTGGTGTGCTCTGAGGCCCGGCGTGGGGATTTCCTCCTCTGCCCACCGCCGCCCTGAGTCACTTCCAGGAGTGGTGATGGCTTCACCACTGACAAAGTCCTAAATCTGGGCAGATCGGGTCACGTGGGGACAGCACGGACTGGGAGGTGACTCGTGGGGTCCCAACCAGCAGTGAGCCCTTGTGGGAGGGGGGTGGGTCTGAGTCTCACATCTGCAGCCCAGCGCTGCTGGGCACCGCCATGCCCACCCTGACCAGAAATGTGGCATCGCCCTCGGCATTGCCCTTGCTCACATCCACACAGTTGCAGTTTCGGAACAGCTCACAGATTGGTAATGTGTCTCTTGGGCCCTCGTTAGGCTGTGGGGGAAAGAGGAACCGGGAGTGCCTTCAACAGTCATCAGGGTGTATTTTTCCACATAATAAAAAGACCAGAATTAAGCCATCGCTGGTTCCCAGTTGAGTGACTTCAGGACCAGCATCCCAGAAACTTTTTGGCTCCTCCTCATGTTTTTGCCTCATGGACACAATGTGGCTACTAGAGATCCAGATGTCACATTTGCTTTCAAGAGGGAGACCAGGTCAGCCTTGCCCAACCCTCCAGATAGGCAAAGCAGGCATCGGAGAGGCTACTGGACCAGATTGCTTCTTAGGTCTCTTTGGCCAGAACAGAGCTACTCTGTGATGCTGGGGAACTGAGAAACAGGATGGGATTATTATGGTTCAGACCAAATATGAACTGGGTCACCTTGACTCTAGGCACAGGGTCACTTTGAACAGAGTTGGCACTCAACCAGGAGGAAGCAGGGGACACAGCAAATGCTAACAGTCGGCCAAGGTGGTGCCAAGGGTCCTTGGATATAACTAGCCATCTCTATGGGGGGCTCTGTGTGGGTCAGCTTCGTGGTACTATTGGACATGCCTGAGGCAAGTAGCTTATAAAGACAGCAGGTTTATTTGGGCTCCTGATGCTGGTGGTGCCATCCCAGCTTGGGTGGCCTCCTTGTTCTGGGCCTCTGGTGATGGTAGCACATCATAGCAGGACCAGATCGGCTACACTGTGGGCCAGCTGTCAATGAGACTCGGCATGAACAGTGTCCCCTTCAAGGGACCTTCGTACCTCCACCGAGGCCCCAACTCCTGAGTGCCCACAGCACCTCCCGTGACACCACACTGGGGACCAAGTTGTAGCACGTGGCCCTCTGAGGGGCTCCCAGAGTACCCTGGCAATGGCCGCTGTGGCCTTGCTTACCTCGGGGCCCATCCTGGTGGCCGGTCCACTCCATGGCAGCCAACAAGTTAGACATGATCTGGCCGGTGCCACCTGAGCCCTCACGCACCCTCACACCCAAGGCCTGCTTGGTGTCACGGCACCCATAAGGGGCAGGCACAGGGAGGAGTGCTGGTGAGGATACAGGGCACCCCATCGGCCTGCTCCCTGCCTCTCCGGCCTGGTGCACAGCAGGGGTAACCGGGATCCTTCCCTCTTTCTCCCTAGCGACTTTGAGCAGCTTCCCGATGACGTAGCCGTAACAGCCAACATCGCGGACATCGAGGAGAAGCGGGGATTCACCAGTCACTTTGTGAGTGCGACCCCTGCCCTTCAGCCCCAGCGTCTGAGCCCCTACTCTTAATGTCCATCTCTCCATTCTCACACGGCCGATGTGACCCTTTGGGGGACACTGGCCAATACCCTGAGGGGTTCTCACCGCTGTCTCTCCGGGTGGGGCTGCCACTGGCATCTAGGAAGGAACAGAGAGGAGCTGGGAAGGTTTGGGGGTGATGGAGAGAACCCAAAGGGAGGTCCCGGAGGAGGATTTGGGAGAGCCACTGTGAGGATCCGGGAGAGGAATCCAGAGGGATCTAGTGGGAATATCTGAAGGGATCTATGGGGGACCCAGAGCTCCGGCCTGAGGGTGACCCCGTGCAGAGTGGGGGACCTGCAGGGGACAGAGGCGCAGGTCCACAGGCTGCGCCTTGAAGTTCCCCAGCGGGTGCAACGCAGGGGTTGAGCACCCCCTCTCCCTGTGCGACCTCTGAGGCCCCAGCCTCTGCCTTCCTCTGACCTGGAGCCCCCTTCCCACTGCCCCTGGGCCTTCCTCACCTCTGTCCCCTTAGGTTTTTGTGATCGAGGTGAAGACGAAAGGAGGCTCCAAGTACCTCATCTACCGCCGCTACAGACAGTTCTACGCCCTGCAGAGCAAGCTGGAGGAGCGCTACGGGCCGGAGAGCAGGAGCACCCCCTTGCCCTGCAGCCTGCCCACGCTGCCAGGTAGTGCGCAGAGCCAGCCTCGCCCCGCTCCCCGACACCGCCGAGCTTCCGTTTGGACCCACGTGGAAGCCATGGCTTTGGGCGGTGAATCTCTCCCAGTAGTCACAACCGTCAACCCTCCGTCTCTGCCGCCACTTCCTTGCCTTCCAGGACCCCGCCTTGGAGCTCTGGGCCCCTGGTGGCTTTTTATTATTTTTAATTTTTTTGTAGTATTGAGGATTAGACCAGGAGCCAGGGCCTTCACACTGTGCTACACCCTCAGACTTTAAAATATTTTTTTTTAAATTTTGAGACAGGGTCTTGCTAAGTCACAGGACTGCCAAGATGTGCACCACCCCCTCCAGGCCCTGATGGTTTTTTTAGCCTCCCTGATTCAGCCACCCACCTCGCAGGAGGTCACAGTGTGGGGCAGGAACCCCCCTTTCCTGGGCAGCTCTCTAGATCCACAGCTCTGCTCCCACAGTGCCCTGACGCTCGTCTGCCTTCCCTGGCCCTCCTGGAAGTGGGGACACCACAGTCCTGCTTGGGGACTGTCCCCTCACTCACACCTTGTCCTACCCTGCCCACCTCTGTCCTACTGTGTACCTTGGACAGCTCCAGTGCGCTCTGACTTGGCAGCTCCCGCACTGCCATTTGACCCTAAAGAGAAAACCCAGCACCTGTCAGTAGGGTGGGCTCAGCTGGGTCCTTTATGTCCTGCAAGACTGGCCAGGGCACTGCTTGTCACCATTCCCAAGCCTTGGAGACCCTGCCTGACTTTCCCTTCTTCCCAATCCAGCCCCACCACAACTGTGTTCCAACTCCCTAAATTATCTATCTATAATCATCTATCCATCCTTTATCTACCCATCACCACCATCATCATCATGCTCAATCTGTCATCTCTCATCTCTGTCTCAGTCAGTGAGCATATTCAGCCCCCACAGCTTGTCCCCTTCTGCTTCCTCGGGCTGCAGGTGAAGAGGGGCTTCACTCGTTGGAAGTGACCTCCCCGCCCGGTCCATCCTCCCCGTGGTCCTGTGGGCTCCTTGTTGGTTCTGTGCCTCTGCACCGTGCTGAGCGCCTAGCTCTCCTGTGGCTAAGCCAGCCAGGGCCATGAAGAAGCACTCTCGCAGCCAGGCTCCCTGCAGCCTCGTGTCCCCAGAGCCCCGAGAGCTCCTTCTCCTTCCTTTCCCCATAAATCTCCTCCCACCGCTTCCCCTCAGCACCGCCTTTTCTGGCTTTAGGTTCCTTCTGCCCCACCCGAGCTCTTACGGGCACCGCAGTCAGCGATGTCAGTCTGACTTCAAGGACACATTTCCGGCCATCTGCAGGCCCCTGCTCTGTTTCCGCAGAGCACTCTGTTCACCAACCTTCTGAGGCTCCAGGCCTCCCAGCTCTGGTCCTGCCTTCTTGGTCACAGGTCCAACATCTGCCGTCTCTGCCACCTACAGAACAGGGCAGTCTCCCTCCTCTGGGAGAGCAGGCCCCTACCTGAGGCCTTAAATGTCATCTTCTGCTCCTCTCCAATGTCTGCTCCAGCCCAGACCCTGAGATGCCGCCCTCTCCCACTACCAGCCCTGCGTGTCTCACAGCACTGGGCCAGGGAGGTGTCGTGCTTGCCCCTTGGGGGACTTGCTGAGTGATAATGACCCCAGTGGCTTGCCCGAAGTCTCCCGCAGAAGACGCTGATCCTGGTTGACTCTCACCTTCCTCTGTCCCTAGACTGTGCCGCTTCGCTTTCTTTGTTTTGTTTTGTTTTTTGAGACAGTGTCTCCTTATATAGTTCCCGCTGGCCTTCATTGTGTGGTGACCCTCCTGGGCCAGCCTCCTGAGTGCTGGGCTCACAGGTGCACACAAGTGTACCCAGCTCCTCTTTGTTTTTGAGGATTGATTCATTCATCCACTCAGCAAATATTCCCTCCTTGGGGCATGACTCTGGATTCAGGTCCTTAACTTTGGTGGCAGAAATGAAGAATTTGGAGACCCACCCAGAGGTCCCTGTAGAGGTGTCCTTGGGTGGGTCCCCTGCAGTGTGATGTTTAAAAAGTGCCTCAGGCGACTCATGCATCAAGGGTTGAGGACTTCTGTCCCAGGTGATGGGTTTCAGCTGCGGGAGGAGCATGCACAGATCCTGTTCCCTTGGAACTCAGAAGCATGCGTGTGTGTGTGTGTGTGTGTGTGTGTGTGTGTGTGTGTGTGCATGCTCACACACACACATGCATACACAGTAATAAACAGGACAGATATCAGCAGTCGATGGTGCGTGTTGGGGGCATGCAACTGGGTGGGTGATGGCCCAGCTCCAGCCTGGTCACCTTGCTGCTGTGGAGGGAGAGAGGGGAGCTCTCCAAGCTAGGGCCACCGGCTTGCAGCACCAGGGTGGTCAGAAGAGTTCTTCTCTCCTCAGCCAAAGTCTTCATGGGCGTGAAGCAGGAGATTGCGGAGATGCGGATCTCGGGCCTCAACACCTACATGAAGGTATCCACAGCTTGTGGCCTGTGTGCTGGGGGCAGGTTCCACTGCTCTTGCCATGACAGGAACCAGCTGGTTCTCAGGCTCCTGGGCCCCATCTTTACTCCCTAAGGGCCTGGCTTGAGGACAGAATCTGGCTGAGTGTTTAGGGCTGTGTGGATTGGGGACAGGAGCACGGGGGAGGTGCAGGGAGCCATGCTTCTGGTTAGGTGAATCTTCATTTAGCACTTCAAGCCCATAGCTGAGTGTCTGTGCCACTGTGTGGTGAATCAGGTCCAATTCTTGCCCTTAGGAGCCCAGCGGGAAGAATGACAGGTGGACCTGTCACAGAATCACGGAAATGCCTGTGTCAGGGGCAGGACCACCCGGGCCACGCCCACTCATGTAGTTCTTTGCACACTAGAGAAAGAAGGTCCCCCTGGGCTGCCACAGCCCCTCGTCTGGCTCGGGCTGGATTGTTAGCTGTACTCACTGTTCTGTCTGGACACCTTGGTGTACCCCCAACTTCCACCCACCTGCACCCCTGAGACACAGAGGGAGGAGCTTCCGAAAGGCAGGGGCCAGGGTGGTCTGGAAGGGGGAGGAGCCAAGGGGGGAGGGACCGAGGGACCGGTGTTACTCATGAGGTAGTGAGCACCCAGGCACCAGGGACATTCAAGCCACGGCTTGAGAGCAATCTCAGGAAGGTGGGGAAGGAAGCCATTTCATAGCCCGCAGGTGTCCTCGCAGCTGAAGAGCACCGAACTGGGAGTCTCATCGCTGCTCTGATGGGGACGGCTGGGTGACATGGGCGACCTGACCCTCCTCTCCAAGAGGCTTTGATTTTCTCACCTGTGAGCTGGGCCAGCGCCTCTCTCCCTCTCACTCACCGGTTAGGATGCAGAGAAAAGGGTGGGAAAGGGCCACGTGGGCTTAGATCTGCTTGTGACAGCGGGACTCCTGCAAAGGGGAAGCCGCAGTGGACACTGGGGGCAGCAGGGCGGGAGCAGTTCTGGGCTCTGAGCCAGGAAGAGGGGGAAAAGTCAACGGGCCCGGCACTGGCGGCCCTGGACCTCAAGGGGGCGCTGTGACCACTGCTGGTGGCTGACGCCCCAGTCTCCCAGGGCTGGTAGTGGGGTGAAGCTCTGGACCAAGACACAGCCGGGTGCAGAGGCTGAAAACCGGCAGTCCCGGCCTCACAGGCAATCTTGGCACCCCGCTTCTCAGGGGACCCCCTTTCTGTCCGTGTCTGATCGGGGTGGTGCGAGTCAGAGAGCTTCAGGGCCGTGATCTGTGCTATAGCCACGCCACCTGGCCCTTGCACACCTCCAGAGGTGGGGAGCCCACTACCACTGTGCCCCATCTGGGCTGTTTGCCCTACTGTGGAGAGCTACTAGTAAAGCCCAATTCCGTATCAATTTCACCCCCGGTCTTACCCATCCTCATGAAGAACATGAGTCGTGTGGTCACAGAAGCTTCCTGGAGCCCCACGGGGTGACCTCGGCGGGGTAAATGGGCTGCTTTATTCAGTCCCCTCTGCAACTCCTGAGTTAGCTGCTATGATCCCATTTACAAATGGAGAAAAGCAGCACAGAGGGGAGAGGCTCCCGGGTGTCACCGAGCAGCTGGGGAGGAGGAGTGGGACTTGAGCCTCATTTGACACTGCAGGCTTTAGTGTTTACCTGCGGGACACAAGAAAGTGACAGCTAAAACGAGAACGTTCTACTTTGATGAGCACCCTGCATGTGCCTGGCGGTGTGCCTTGGTACGTTATTCAATCCTTGTGTAACCCCCACAGGAAGATACTGTTACTGTCCCCCATTAGGAATGCGCATCAGGTCACCCGCAGGTGAGTGGCAGAGCTGGGGTCCAGCCTGGCTCCTGACGCCCCTCCCCTCCGCCCGTCACGGCCCAGTCTTTCCAGGCTCCACACCCCCAGTGCTTCTCGGGTGATCCGTCCATCCTGCAGCCCACAGGGGGTTCTCGGAGAGCTCTGGGTGTCTCTACAGCTGTGGCCCCCAAGCCCAGCTCCAGACAGCCGGGAGGGCATCCTGGGCTTCCCGCAGTGGTGTGGCCAGCACAGGTGGGGTGGGGAGTCTACGGCTCCGTCCCCGGGCTGCCACTTCCCGGCTCTGCCTCTTTGGGCCGGGCAGCCTGCCTCTTTGAGCCTCAGTGTCCCCAGCTGTGAGATGAAAGTGTCAGGAAGCGGTTTGTGGCCTGCAGTGTCACCATCTGTGAATTTGGTTATTTTGGGAATTAAGAGCTGGGTTTCAGGCTCTGGGTGTGACGGCTCTTTCACTTTCTAGGCTGTGTGGCCCTAGGCTGGTCCCTTCTTTCTCTGACCCTAATGGATACGGTGAGATACCGAGCTCACATATGTGGTACTCAGTTCAGGGTCAGTTGGCACAGTCAGCGCCAGGTCACTGTCCCTATCCTAGCCATTGTCCCCTTTAGGTGATTCCAAATAAACTTCCCTCATGCCAGGGGTCCCCCTGCTGACCTGGTGGCCGGGAGCAGAGCTGTGAAATGTGACCTCCAGGCTGCTGAGCTTCAGAAAGGCTCTTCTAACTGATTTCTATCCTCAGGCATGACATGCATCCACAGAAACAGACGGGAGGGCTGGCGTCAGGTGACAGCGATGGTACAGCTGGCCTGCGATTCCCGAGCTTTCTGCTGACCCCCCTTCCGTCCTGTCCCTCCCCCACAGAGCCTCCTCAGCCTGCCGGTCTGGGTGCTGATGGACGCCGACATCAGGATCTTCTTCTACCAATCGCCCTACGATGCGGAGCAGGTGCCCCAGGCGCTCCGCCGACTGCGCCCGCGCACGCGCAAAGTGTGAGTGGCCGCCCTGGGCGGGCATGGGAAGAGCAGTGGGGCCAGCTCTGCTCCCGGATGCTCCGGCGAGGTCTGGCATAATGGATGAGTCTGGAGAACTAAATTTGGGGCCGTAGGAGGTGTGTTGTGCTGGGTGGGGGTCGAGCCTGGAGGACGGGGACTCTAGAAAGGTCTGGTACCACGGCAACCAGCAGGGGCTGCTCAGGAGCCCTGGCTGCCTGGAAGGAGGAGAAGCCAGCAGGGAGAAAACTCGCCACAAAGCCCCCTTCCCGGGACACTTCGTCCTTGTGTTAGGGCTCCCCTGGGCCAGCAGCGGCCGGGCCCCCCTCCCAGGAGACACTGCTGCTCTTTACTGCCAAGAAGCAAAGACCCTACCGCTCCCGCCTCCCTCCCCTCAACCTGAAAGTGCCACCCAAACCACAAGCCACAGATTGCAGCCAGCCAGCCTTCCAAAGCCAAGGCTGCTGCTTTTAAGAATTCCAGGGAAGAGGCGGACATGGCTTCCATGCCTGTAGTCCCAGTACTCAAGAGGCAGGAGGATTGTAATTTTGAGGCCAGCCTTGTTGACCTAGGGAGACCTTGTCTAAACAAACAAACAAACAAACCAGAAAAGGCAGGACAGGAGTCCCAAGCCCAGCCTGCCCCCCCCCCCACTCTCCTCCATGCTCCCGCCAATGTGTCTGGGTCTCCTGCTCTCGGCACTGGTGTCCCCCTTGTGCACCCGAGCACATGTGGCCTGAACCCCAGCTGGGTCTCACAGAGCAGGCCTGTCACATCTCCAAGGCTTTGTTTCCCCACCTAAAATATCTAGCCGAGAATGGCTGTCAGGAGCAGAAGAAACAACAGTGCAGAGGCTCAGTGGCAGAGGGTGCCCAGAGAAGGGTTTCCATCCTGGTCCCGCCCGCTTTGAGCCTCTGTTTCTGAGTCCACTGTGGGGGAGGGGGTCCCACCTCTGGCATGCAGGGAGGCTGACAGCATAAGCCCAGGTGAGGACAGGCTCCTGCCGGAGCAACCATGCCGCACTGTGCTATCCTCTCTCCTGCCTTTCCTGCCCCTGCAGGGACCCCTGAGAGCAGAGGCAGGAGCTCGCAGAGGCTGATGAGCCCCCTATTTTCTCTCCACAGTAAGAAAGTGTCCCCCCAGCACACCAGCTTTGACCGGCTGGCAGCTCCGCGTGCAGAGGTACCCATCCCCCCATGGCGGCAGGTGCAGGTGGCTGTGGGGCTTCCACCCATCCCTGGACACCTGGGCACCCTGTTCTCCTGAGGGAAGAGCAGAGCCCAGCAGGCAGGGGCAGGGGAGGAGGCGACCATCCTCTGCTCATCCAGACAGCTTGCCCCGGCCCTATCTTAGGGACCAGTCTCAGAGACGACTCAGGGAAAGCTTTGTCCCCATTGGCTCCCAGTGTGCTGGGGACATCCTTACAGATGGTGTAGGCAGTGCCTGAGGGGGAGCAGCTGGGTGGGGACTCAGAACCAGCTCTGTCCAGAGCATTCAGGAGTCCCCACTCCCCACTTACACCCATGCACACATTGTATTCACCCAACCAGCTCCAAGCAGCCCTATCTGGTGTCAAAGCTCCCCCACTAACAAAAGCAAAGACCTCATCCTGCCCGAGCCTCAGTTTTCTTATCTGTGCAATGGGCTACAAAAGTTGTCAGCAAGAGCTGGTCCAACGCTGTCCCTCCACGCCCTGCCCCACAGGCCCTGTTTGACTTCACTGGGAACACCAAGCTGGAACTGAATTTCAAAGCGGGGGATGTGATCTTCCTGCTCAGTCGGATCAACAAGGACTGGCTGGAGGTGAGGGTGGGGAGGGGGGTGTGGGAGGAGAGTAGAGACCATTTCAGGTGTGCTGGGCGGGGCTGGGACTTAGGAAGGTCCAGGGCTGGCCCGGGGGAAGGTGTCCCAGCAGGTTTGGGGAACCTGCAGGAGTTCAGGCACTAGGGAGAGAAGTGTGTGGCAGAAAGAGAAGGTTCTGGAGTCTGTGACCTTCCCTTTGGCTCTGCTCTGAAGCTCTTGTCCCTGTGGGTGTAGACAGTCACCCCTGAGTTTATTACTCAGTCTTCGCCAGAGCATCTTATCGGCTGTACCCTTGACAGTCCTGTGGGGAGGGGTCCTGTACCTGGGGTGTTTAGCAGCGTCCAGCCACACAGGTCTCCAGATGTTTGCTCCTGGAGACAAAGTCACCCACGTGGAGAGGCCCGGTGTGTGGTATGGGAGACCATCACCTTGCAGGTAGCAAAAGGTTGGGATTAAGAGCATGCGCCCTAGAATCTGCCTGCAGGGGTCATTTCCGAGCTCGTTTTTTGTTTGTCTGCTCATTTGTTTTGCTTTTGAGGGTCTTGCTAGGTTGCCCAGGTTGGTCTGGAACTCATGGGCTCAAGTGATCCTCCCACATCAGCCCCCAAGTGGCCCAGACCACAAGCGCATGCCACCATCCCTGGCTTGAGCTCTGTTGTGAACCAGCCTTGTGAACCTTTGGGAATTTGTCTGGTCCTTCAGTGTCCTTTCTTATGAATGGAGACAGCACTGACAGGCTCCTCCTAGCTTCCTGGGGAGGGAAAAGGTGACAGATGTGCAGGGCTGGCTCACAAAGAGCCTGGGTGCCTGGTGTCTGGCAGGTGTAAGAGTCCTGGGGTGACGTTGATGAGACTTGGGAGCTGGGGCCTGTTCCAGTCTTTGCTTTGTGTCAGCATGGCCCGAAAAGGGACCCACATTGACTCAGTGAGGGAACATAGGGGCCACAGTGCAGAAGTCCTCACCTTTCACATCAGATGCCATTGTTACTGAAGAGGCGCTCTTTGCTCTGTGCCCTTGCCCTGTAACTAAAGGAGGTTCCAGGACTTCCTGCGGCAGGGCCAGCTCCAGGGCCCCTGGGAGCATCACCATTGCATGCAGGGGAGTCCCTGAGGGCCAGAGGCTGGAGAGGAACAAAAGGCATCTGGTGTAGGGGCCCACAGCTCTATTGCAAGAACTCAGCAATTCTCATGGTGCCAGAAGGTCAGCTCTGGTCACTCTGTAGAAAGAGGAAATGCTGCTCCCCTCCCTCCTGTTTCCTGGAAAGTCCTGCTGGTCAGGATGCCGGTCACCTTATGGCCTCAGGTTGCAGCGACCAGGGGAGAGGAAGGGACCACTGTGGGTCTCAAATGTGTGTCTGCAATCGCTCGTGAAGCAGGCGTCTTCCATCCTGCCGTTGGGGAAGTGGGGTGACCACGTACCACCGTCGTGGACTGGGGGACAGGCCAGAGCTGGGGGAGGGGACTCCTGGCTGTTCAGTGTCCATGCGGTGGAGAGGGGTGTCTGGGAGTGAAAGAGGGAGGGGGAGTCGCCCGCAGGCCCCTCCACGCCGCTGTCCCTCTGCATTCAGTCTCCAGCAGGCACCTTAAACACACAGGCATCTGGGGACACTCAGACTCAGCCACAGCACGCGCCCTGTATGTAAGGGGACTAGGACATTGTCCGCTGTCCCTGTCATTATGGCCCCAGGCCCTGCTCCCTCTCTCTGCAGACCAGGCAGCCCCTTCTTCCTCTTCTCAGGGCACCACCAAGGGAGCCACGGGCATCTTCCCGGTCTCCTTCGTGAAGATCCTCAAGGACTTTCCCGAGGAGGATGACCCCACCAACTGGCTGAGATGCTACTACTACGAAGACACCATCAGCACCATCAAGTCCGTGGCAGCCTGCTCCCGCGCCTTTCCACCCGCTGCCCACAGCACGCTGCCGTGTTGTGCCCCCACCGCCCAGTCTTCCACATCAGTCCAGCCTCGCTCCCAGCCCCTGCCCTGAGCCATGGCCCAGCCCAGAGCCCAGCCTGATGCCCTCTCCCTGCCCGTTGCCCTTAGGGACATTGCCGTGGAGGAGGACCTCAGCAGCACCCCGCCCTTCAAAGACCTGCTGAAGCGGATGAGGTGAGGACAGGGGCTCAGCTGCCCGGGAGCGCTGCTGCCCGAGGGTGCAGGGGCTGCGCTCATCCTCCCCCTTGCTGTGCCCATGGCCCTGCAGGCTGGGCACTGTCCCCAGATGAGAGGTGAGGCCAGAAGGGAGGAACAGAGGGCAAAAGGGTTGGCTGAGGTCATACAGCGTGTGACGATAGATTTGCACTAGAACCAAAGCCTTGCTAGCTAGAAGCCCTGAGCTTGGACATTCTACCATCAGGGAACTCACAGTGCCTCAAGATCTGGTCGCCTTTGACTCCTTCTATGGGGCAGTCGTAGCATGGGTGTATATTTCTTACTATAAAAGTAACACCTACTCATAAATATACACACAGGCGTGATTTGGTGCATACCAGGAATTAAACCAGACATGCCTGTTTCATGGGCTTCTTAGCCATCTCCCACTGTGATGCTACCATAAATGAATGTGGGATCATCTCTGACCCCGTATCTGATGACTTGTCTGATTATTTCCTTGGAATCATTTTCCAGAAATGGAGTGCAGGGATCAGAGTATTTGCAATGGCTTCCACTGGGTCAAATCACCTGTGGGAAATTCTGGTCACGTTTTACTCCTGCCCCAGGAGGAGGGGTGTCCAGGCCCTGCAGCCCACATCAGACATCCCCTTCCTCTGCAGGGGCCAGATCCTCCTCCTGCACAGCTCACGTAGAGTCTGCCTGTCTGTCGCTCTCTATCTCTCTGTCTCTGTCTCTCACTCTTCTCTCTGGCTTTCTTTGCTCTGCTCAGTGCCCTCCCAAGCCATTTCTGCTTCCTTTGACAGTTCCTAAGCCCCAGCAAAGTCACCCACAGGACATTTGGTCTGCCTACATGAAAATCCCCTCAGCCCCTCTAAATCTGTTTCTCCGTCTATGCAGCAGGAAGAGCCTCTTCCTAGATGCTAAGGGCTGTGTCAAGCTCTGACCTCCTCTGCTTCTTGGATCCAGGCTACAAGTATCTCCTTACCCCTCTGCGTAGGCCCAAGGCCCCTGGGCTCTCTCCTGGGGCCTCGGGTAAGCCTGACATGTCCCACCCAGGCGGGAGTTCCAGAGGGAGGACATCGCCCTCAATTACCGGGACGCGGAGGGGGACCTGGTGCGACTGCTGTCGGATGAGGACGTGGGGCTCATGGTGAGGCAGGCACAAGGTCTCCCCACCCAGAAGCGCCTCTTCCCCTGGAAGCTGCACATCACTCAGCAGGACAACTACAGCGTCTACAACACCACGCCTTCAGCCACCCAGAGATGAGGGACTTCAGGAAAGAAGGGGGGACCAGGAAAACTTCCCAGCTCCAGGGCACGGACCCCCTGCGCTTGGCTTGTTCTGTGTCTGTTTCTACACTTACCTCTGAATGAATGAAATAAACCGTTTATCTTGGAGGGCCAGACTGGAAAAAATAGTGCCTTTTGCGGGGAAAGAGAGAGAAGGGAGAGGAAAATACCACTCAGTGGGCATAAACTGACCATTTACATCCAGCTGGGGCCCTGACTCGTGCCTCTACGCCAGTCCTATCCCACACCCTGTCTGTGTAGAGGAATCGGTGACCCCCATTCCTGCTGCCTGCCTCCCCTCTGTCCCTCGCCACCTCCTTTTTCCTGGCATTAGCTGACTGCTCCTGGCCGTCTGGGGTCCCACTGAGTCACTGCTGTGTAATGAGGTCAGGACGTCCTCTGCTTCTTGGTGCCACTGTCCGGTAGAGGAGAGGGACAGAGCCCAGTCTTGGTTCCAGCTGTCACTACTGCAAATGGGGGTAGGGAGAGCGGTGAACAAGTGCTCTGATCTTTTTTGTTTTTAATTTTATTTTAAAGAGAATAAAACCAAGCGAAACAAAACAGGATAAAGCTAATCAAAACAGGACAGCATAAGGGACACAGGATTTCAAACAAGATAATAGGAAGCCAACAGTGGCTACCATAACGCTTCTCATTGTCTTCAAAATAGCTGCCCATACCCTCAGATATCGCAAAACCAAACAAAACAGAACAATAGAATCAATAAAAACAAAACAATGCATGCAACACAGGACTGCAAAACACAATCATAGTAAATCCAAAATGTCCTGTTATCCTTGAAATAGCTGTCTGTGTCATCACATGTAATAAAATCAAACAAGACAAAATAGAATAAACCCAATCCAAACAAAACAATGAGAATGACACAGGACCTCAAAACAAGACACTAGGGAATTAACAACGGCCACCACATTTGGCAGGAGATCCCCTGCAGATGCCACACTGTGTATTGTTATCCTCTGGATAGATGATCAGACCACCGGCTTTAGGCCTGCAAAGTCAGTGAAACACTAACCACTACAAGCATTAAAGTGCTCTGATCTTGCCAGACATGAGGAGGAGGCAGAGTCAGGAGGGCCTCTGGGAGCCGAAGCTCCTTCCGCTCAAAGCCATCACAGTTCCGCAGGAGTCTCTTCCAGAGCGGTGGTGTGAGGAGTGTGGGAGGCTCTCTCCCTCATAAAGCATCCATTCAACAGATGGAAACCCCAACTGCCACCCACTTGGAGTCTCCAGGCACAGAGCAGTCGAAGAGAGACTTCCTGGAGGAAGATCACTTTGTCAGTGTGAGAAGAGAGGAGTTGATGGCACCTGAGCCCAGCACAGTCCCACCCTGGTCCAGCCCTTGAGACAGGAACCACTGAAGATACTGCTCTGCACGGTCACAGCCAAGAAGACAGCCCCCCACCCCATCCTTGTCTTCTTTGGTTCCACTCCCGAATGGACAGGGTGCCAGTGGCTCCCACCGCTGGCTCCTGCAGGTGCTATTCCAGAAATCCTGGCTGAGAGGACTGAGTTTCTAGCACTGTCATGACAAAGTACCATGAAACACAGGCTTACACCCCGGAGAGGTACTGTCTCTCAGTTCTGGAGAGTAAGAGTCTGAGATTCACGGTGTCCACAGGGACTTCCCTCTGTGAAACTTGAGAGAGATCCATCCTTGCTTCTTCCCAGCATCTGATGCGTTGCTCAGCATCTCTCTCATTCCTCAGCACCATTCTGTCTTCACGTGGGCTCCTCCCATGTCTTCACATCACCTTCCCTCTGGGTGCATCTGTCTCACTGTCCAACGTCCCCTTTTTATAAAGACACTAATAATGTGGAACTAGGGCCCACGCTAGTTACCTAATTTTAACTTGAGTTCATCTCTAAGGACCCTATTTCCAAATAAGGTCACATGCTGGGATGTGAAATGTTAGGATTTCAACATGTCATTGGTTTTCTTTTTGGAACACATCGATTCAACCAGAGACCTGCGTTTGCCCACCCAGATCCCACTAGAAGGGTGAGAGCTCTGCCACAGGGGTACTGGACCCTAGCTCCCTCGTAGGACAGAGATCTACTGTGAGCAGCTCCTCATCACTGGGACAAAACGCTCGACAGACCCAGATTAAAGACGGGAGAGTTTAGTGCGACTCACGGTTTGAGAGATTTCAGTTCATGGTCGGCTAGTTCCAAGGCAGAAGCGTAGCAGAAAGGCACTGTGGAAGAAAGCTGCTCAGCTGACAGTAGCCAGAGCAGAGAAAGCAAGAGTTACAGGAGAAGGAGAAAGGGACAGGCCAAGCCCTTCAAAGACATGCGCCCAGTGACTTCATGTGCTCCTGCTGAGCTCCGTCTCCTAAAAGTGCATCGCGCTATGAATGTATCGGTGGGCTAATGCCCTGAGGAGATCTAGGTCCCCACGACCAATCACCTTCCAAAGTCCGGTCTAGAACATTTAAACCCAAACCATGTAGATTTCATGCGGAGAGGAGTAACCGGAAACAACAAAGTGACATGCACGCATGCGTACATGCACGCACACATGTACGTGCACGCACACATGTATGCGCACGCATTCACGCATGCGTACGCAAGCACGCATGCGCACGCAGCCCCCTCTTTATACTATTCACTTGTAGAAGAGGATGTCGCTCCAGGAGAAGTAGCTTGCTTCCCTGCCCCTGCTCTGCTGCAGCGGCACAAAGTCTCTGCCCACGGAGAAATATAAGCCGGAAGGATGGAGAATCCCCATAGCTGACTGTAGAAAGGAGACCGGAGACATTGTCAAGACTAACGGAATCTCGGTGGGCAGAAATAAGGAGACTAGTAGCCCCAAGATACTAGTCACAATAAATGAAAGACAAGGCCATAAATATAATGGCCACCCAAGGACAGCTACAACCGAGAACAGCTTTTCTAGGATTGCAGTCGTCTTTGGGAGCTGTGAAGACCATTTTATGCAGGTGGTGCCCACTTGGAAGAAATCAGAATAGGAAGAGAGACAGACTTGACATAATTCTCTAAACCACAGACAGATCCATCAGTAATGCACCAGGCTCACAGAGTTTAACCATAATCCCTGATGAAGCGGTGGCTGCTCGGTAAGCTCCTGTGACTCAGAGACTCTTAGGAAACCAGGTTTACACACGAAATCCTATTCATTTCCTGTGCACTGGGAGACTGCATGTAACAGGCATGAAGTACTCAATCCTCAGCAAACAAGGGGCAAAATTCTAAACAGCCCAAGCTGTGACAGCAGTCTGCAACCCACAAACACAAGAAACTGGGTGAAAGGTTTCTGTATTTTGCTGGATTTGGGTTAGTACATACCAGACGTGTATTCTGATAATTTAAAAGAGATGTTACAAGCCTGATGGTAACCAGTAAGAGTTAAGAACATAATCACAAGACGTCCTGAAATTTTTCAAGAAATTAAATCCATACATGTGTTAGTTTGCTAGGGTTACTGTACAAACAGCTAAACACGAGGTGACCTCAACAGCAGAAATACGGGATCTCAAGGCTGGAGGCTGGAATCTGCGTTCAGGGTGTCCACAGGGTCAGTTCCTGCTAAGGATTTGTGTGGGAGGAGGATGTGTTCCAGGCCTCTCTCCTTGTGTTGTGAGTGTTCATCTTCTTTTGTTTTTCATCCTGCCTTCCCTCTGTGCCTCTCTGGCTCTTCTAAAACCTTAGTTTCACAAAGACACGACCCTCAGGACTTCATTGCAACCTGATCAGCTCTGTGAACACCTTCACTTAAGGTCACAGTCCCCGAGGCACTGGGCTTAGGAATCCCCCATATATTTTGGTGTGAGGGAGGACACATTTCCACCTATGTCAGTGCACTTGAATCCATTTTAAAGAATTAAGTAACTTCTCCGCGGGGGCTCTTCCATACCCAATCCTTTGGCTTCTCCTGTGTTGTCTGGCCATGTTCGCTGAGGAACTCTCTTTGTAGACATCACATTGACCCTGGCTAGGACATAGTCTTAGGGAGATTAGAAACCTTGCCACGAAGAGGAAGCTGCTCTGGGGATCCTTCTTCACACTCTAAAAAATGTCTATGCTCAGAGCTGGATTCAAATCCACAGTGGTGGGTGTAGTTCTGCAAAATAAAGACCGTGCCGCAGTCAGAGGCAGGGCCTCGTAGGTGAATGGCAAGGTCGGTCTGGGGCTCCAGCGCTAGGACAAGCTTCGGGGTGAGAGCTGTAGGGGTCCTGGATGAGGGGCGTTTCTAGCTCCATGCAGAAGAGAAGCCCCTTTTGGACTAAAATGTCCCCAAGGTAGGCTGATAGGAATCACTCAGAGTAAGATCAAGCACAAGTCTGATAGTAAGAGACCAACAAATCTTTATGAATGAGACGGTCAGTAACAGCTTTAGCCAATGGCTACAGAACATTACCTACATGTAAAAAATATGTAAAGAAGTAAACAGTGAGCTCAAAAGAGAAGTGAGCAAAAGAAGGTGACCACCAAACTTCCGGATTTGCAAAAGGAACACACACGCACACGCACACGCACACGCACACGCACACACACATGCTCACAGATACTAGGGATTGGATAAAGGTTCATGTCCCAGAAGCTTGGTCCCCAGCATGGTGGTTGATGTGGTGAAGTCATGAAGAATTGGGGGGCTCGTGGAAGGTGATTAAGTCTGGTGGCTCCAAACTCATGAACGGATTAATGTGGTCTCACATCCTGGGTTGGGACTCCAAAGACAGCTGTCATGAGAGTGCACTGTCGAAAGGCAAGGTTGCACTTAGAAGTAATTGGAAAAATTCACCAGCCATGGTCTTTGGCAGGTTCATTCAATTTATCATCGATTACTCTGCAACTGAGACCCGAGGGGAGGCTTTGTGACTGATTAGGGGCCACATGGTATCAGTGGAACAAACTTATTGTAGGAATTCTGACCCAGGAAACACTACCGCAGAATGTTAGTTATGCCCAGAACACTGCTAAGGACAGCCCTTTCCTAAACTTCTTGTGAAAGGCAATGTTTCAATTTTTATTTCTCCCCAGTGAGGATGTGTGTTATTGCCTGTGCACAAAGAATTTTAGAGAAAGAGTAGTTTTTTCAAATTGTCTGTGTACCCAGTCCCCTA